TATTCTCCATAATTATGTATTAATTTACACACACACACACACAAACAATAAAAATAAAATAAAATGTAAAAAGAAATCTAAATATCACACAAAATTATTAAGAAATAAAATGTATATGCTTAATAAGACTATTTCTTTGTAAAAATATAATTTGTATATAATTTGTAAATTATGGAAATAGGTAAAACTTAAATTATTTATTACGTACAATTATTAATTTAATTTTTAAACTATTTAACCAGAATACGTTAAAATGAGAGAAGTTCGATCTCAAGATAACAGAACGTCGAGGTAGTGGAAAGGATGGTGAAAAGTTCTACTCACCAGCCCCCAGCTGCTCTCATGGTTCAGGATCAGCTCCGCTTCCTTGACAAATTTCTTTGGTTCGAGGATCGTCTCGGTTTTTCTTCGCGCCGCGGACCTCCGATTACGACAGAGTTTTATATCGAATTCGCGAAGGACGCAACACTACCGAAGTGTGACGATCCTACCGGCTGCGCCAGTCAAGATTACGGGAACGTAAAATGATTTTTTAAAAACTATTTAAAATCTATTTTATTTCTTAATACAATTATAATTATAACTACTTAATTAATACGTCTTGACAGAAGTCGATGTCAGAACGAAGTGGCCGCTCCCATGAGCTCTGTCTGATATCTCATGCAACCAAAAGCGCTGACTCTACAGTTACTGGATACTGTCTAATGCTTATGCAGCCCCCTCTAAATACGAACTGTAACAACCCTATGGTCTTGTGGTTGCATAACTAGCTTGATCTTGCTGTTATTTTGTATTTATTTGGTTTGTTTACTATGTTTAATATTTTATTAATAATTAATTTACTCACAATTGTGAGTTATATTTTTTTTGAAGTGAGTGATGAAGATGATAGTGTAATTATAATTGCGACAGCAATAATAATTGTTCAATTAAAAAATATATTGATCTCAGAGTGAATTTTATGTGTCATAATTAGTTTCCTTATTAATTTTGTATGGTTGGCACTACGTAGCGTATTTGTTTAATTTTCAATAAAGACTTCTATTCAATAATAATTGATTTCATTTATTTTGGTGCATTATAATATTTACCTACAAAGTTCTTCGTTAAATGTAAGTTGCAAAGGGAGGATTGGGGTAATTTTAATAACTAAGATACATTTTCCACAATCACAAAAATCATTACATAATGCTTAGGCAAACTTACTTGATTTATTTTAAACTTACAGATCTTTTTAGATCAATCTTTCTGTATCAAAATTCTAAACTCAGTAAGTTTACCTATTTTGACATATTACTGCACACACTACAGTGACGATTTAGATAATTTTACCTGTTTATCAAATCAGGTCAATTTTATCTAACAGACACAAACCGGTGTTTGTAAAAGCGTCAGGTGTCTTATTTTGACAATTTGGATAGCTATGAAAAAAATATTTCTGCAGTGTTATTATCATTTTGATCTAACAATTAGGTGATTTTTTATGATTTTTTTTTTAAATATTTGAACTTTAAATCATTCTCCTGTAAAGTTTACTCAATGTCGCTTAGTGAGGATTGCCTTTCAAGCGTCGATATTTAATGTAGATGAACTTTGTCTTTTACACGAAGTAATTTGGACGAATAGTTTAAAAGTTATCGCGATAAGATTGACATTAATGGAGCACCAGCGCAAAGCGGGAGTGAAGGGGCGGTCCAAGCAATGACGCGCGATCGCCGACTGCGCGACCCGAACGCAGGCAGACGCGGAGGGCAGACCTAGTATATATACAGTAATCTGTGGGGCAGACGTCGTTGACGGTTATGTTCAGTTTGCTTTCTTTCTTACAGCTAATTCCCTTCTCGAAGAGATTTATTATTTATTAGTACAGTAGGTAGGCATAATTATTATTTTTAGTTAGTATAGGTAATTTAAATATAGATTACTTATTATTTTAATTTAAAAAACAGAAAAAAAAAAAAAAAAAAAACAAAAAAATTAAATAAACAGTTGTATTACAATTATTTTATTTTTGTTTATTTGATTATATTTATTTATTTATATACTATATATTATATACTTACAAATACAACGTAAATAAACTACCTAAATATAGTAAGTACAGTTTAATACAGTATGAGTTAAAACAGTATAATATTACTTAATAGGATATTATAAACGCGAAAGTTTGTAAGTATGGATGGATGGATGGACGTAAAAACTACTGAATAGATTTTAATGAAACTACAATAATATAGATTATACATCTGAATAATATATAGGATACAATTTATAAAGATATTGTGTGAATATTCCAAAATGAAATAATGAAAGCAATGAAAAGCATGAAAGTAGGTAAGGCAGCCGGATATGATAGAGTTTCACTCGAAATGCTTAGGGCTGGAGAGGACGTGGTGGCAGGCCTGCTGTACACCTTGTTTAATTTATGTTGGGAACTAAAGCGGGTACCGGGAGACTGGTGCAAAGCCGTGATAGTCCCAATATATAAGGGAAAAGGGTCACAGCAGGACTGTAAAAACTACCGTGGTATCAGCCTTCTTAGCATTGTGGGAAAACTGTATGCTAAGGTACTAATTGAAAAAGTTATGAAAGAAACTGATGAAAAAATTTGGGATGTGCAAGCGGGATTTAGAAAGGGAATGGGGTGTACTTATAGATCAATTCTTTTCCATGCGCATGATCGCGGAGAAGTTTTTGGCGAAAAACCAAAAAGTTTTTTGTGCGTTCATGGACTTGGAAAAGGCTTATGACTGAGTGGACAGGGATGTGTTATGGCAAACGCTGAACGCATTTAGGTTGAGCGCTGGTTTAATAGAGGCATTAAAGTCTCTGTATAGGGACTCGAGTGCTTGTGTTAGAATCAACGGGGCCTACTCGGACTGGTTTGGCATCCATAAAGGTGTCAGACAGGGCTGTGTAGCTTCCCTGTGGCTATTCAACCTATTTATGGACAGTTGTTTGGAAAATTTGAAAGTTGAAGAATGCGGGTTAAAAATGGGTGAGTTAACCATCAAATGCCTTTTGTACGCCGATGATCAAGTCATACTTGCGTCGTCGGAGGCCGAGTTGCAAATGATGGTTACATTAATGAACAGGTCATTAAAAGAAAGGGGGAGTGAAAGTGAACGCAAGTAAGACGAAAGTGATGGTTTGAAAGAGGTTGAAAGAGAAGAAAGCAAAACGGTATGCGAAATAAGAATAGAAGGAGAGTTAATTGAGCAAGTGGATGAGTTCGTATATTTGGGACGTGTATTCAGCAGGGACGAGAGATATGATAAGGATATTACACGACGAGTGAATGCAGGAAATAAAGTAAATGGGGCTCTACACTCTATTGTGAAAAGTCAGAATGTGTCAAAAAAGGCACGTATGGCAATTCACAATGCTGTATTAGTCCCTACTTTAACGTATGGTAGTGAAAGTTGAGTGTGACAGCAGAAGCACGAGAGTAGAATAAATGCAGTAGAAATGCGGTCGCTAAGGAGTATGTTAGGGCTGAATCTGAGTGACAGGGTGAGAACTGTGTGATAAAAGAAGAGTGTGGTTTGCAAGATGATGCGGTGACCAGGATTGAGAAAGGAATGCTTCGGTGGTTTGGTCATGTAGAAAGAATGAATGAGGAAAGACTGATAAGCAAATATATGTTGCAGAAGTGAATAGAAGAGTCGGAAAGGGACGTCCTAGGCGGAAGTTTGTCGACCAAATTGGCGATATACTAAAAATGGGCCAAATTAAGAGTAACCTTAACTAATGAGCATGTATGCGTAGGTATATGGATGTGGAAGAGGCGAGAGAGGTATGTCAGGATCGTGCTAAATGGAAGTCTGTAGTCTCTGCCTACCCCTCTGGGTGACAGGCGGGAGTGTTTATGTTTTATGTTGTCCAAAATATGACGATAATTGTCAAGTAAGTAGGGAAAAATCTACCAACTGCTTAGTCTGTCCTTGAAAATTTTTAATGTAAAGGCATTGATTTATATATTACACTAAATTAGTACATAATTACCGCGCCAAAGCGTTGCCACTGCACATATGGCCACAGACATATGCCTAGCTAACGTCTGTTCACTGTTCAATGCATGGAGGTTAGCTACACTCCATGGTTCAATGTGACGCCGACAGTTGAGCCGCGACAAAAAATGGGTAAATGCGTAGTGAAAGAAGTTTTCGATTTCAAAGATTTCGAAGGCGATTCAAGGTCATAAAAACATAATAAATCAAGCGGAATCACTTTCTACACGTAACTTTTAGTTCTTGTTTTCATATAAACGTAAAAACCTCAAATAATTAAATAAAATTATCGAATATTGCGATTTCGGTTCAATGTTGCCACTTTTCCGCCTTTGTGATTATCCCACATTAATGGAAAACTTCATAATTAATGGAGTAAATTAATTTCTTACCTCTGATTTTAAATATTTTGGAAATTATAATAAATAAAAAACGTTTTAACTTTCATACAAAATAATTAATTATTCTTATTTAAGTTTATTCATGAATGATTTGTCAAATATATTACCTACTTTAATAATAATAATAAATAATATGGCATAGGGAAGTGACGACCCCATCGCCCCGTTGACGTAACGGTTATGTGACAAAACTGCTACGTCAGCGCAGTCAGTCAGCACCTTGCCAAGAGGTGTGAGCGCCGTGCCTCGGCAAAAATTGAAGGTGCAAAGGCCCGCTTGTGCATATGGCCTCACCATGAAACGTCGCCGGGTCTGGGTGTCTCTCTTTAAATAACGCCCGCTATGGATGATGGAATACAGAAGAACGCGCAAAGGGCCGCTGCCTGGAGGTAGCCAGGGCACGTCTGGAGCTGGCACTGGACGCTACAGCATGCGAACCGCCAACCGAGCGCGAGGTGCTGCACGACCACACCACAGCCCCTCGCATCCATCATCCCCACCAGCGTGCTTGGTGTCGACAGGGTCTTTGCAGGCCCAGCAATCGGCACTCGCCACTGGTGGAGTACGCCACATGTGATGGACCATCAAAATGATTACAAACGCATTGCGGGCGTATTTTAGGGCGAAAGGGGAAGAAGTTGGAGGATTCGCGTATCGGGCTAGGATTCATCGTCTTTTTACTGAGCTGAAGCGATCTATTACCGTCACCGAACAAAACCTGGCAGATCAAGTTCGGTATATCCTGCGCTCAAATATATTTGATGGCACCGAACTCGAACGGCTACGATGTGAGGTTGTTCCCTCATCAGATAAAAATGCTACGGCTGAGGATGTGGTGCCACAAGTTGCAGAACAACCTTCGCACGTAGATGCCGCCGTGAATACCCCAGTGGTGGCTGATTCAAATGATGATGGAACATTCGCCCAGGAACTACTACTAAGAGCAAATGAGGAGTACATTGGAAGAGGCAATTGTGGAAACGCGCAGTACGCCTCTCGAAAATCGACCACGACTTCCCCGCATAGCCTTAAGCAAGCAGAATCGGGCTGTCGTGAGGGCTCTGAATCCAATGCTGGTGACCTATTTGGAAGCTAGCCGGGACCTTTGCGAGACGGACTCAATTCTTTTTGGCGCCGCGCTGGCAGTCTGCCATATTACAGGCACCAAGGTTTCCACGGCTGGACACGCTACTGGCCAAAGTAGCGCTATCCCTGCATGGAGAAGAATAATTGAGGAACGTATCGCAAAGGCTAGAGCTCTCATTGGCAGACTGATATGCTTCTGGTCAAGCAATAACAGGCCAAGAATTGTGCGCACCGTCAGGATGGCGTTTGCTGGGACAAATGTCAGTTTGTCCCAGCCGGATATAACGCAAAAACTGACGGAGCGCATAGATGATCTGAAGCAGAGAATCGCTGCTTGGGGAAAGCGAATTCGGCGATATACCGAGAGGTTGACTAGGTTCAACCAGAATCGTCTCTTCCAGAGTGATCAGAAGAGGCTCTATGAATCATTGGAGTGACTAATGGTAAATGGAACGGGTCCAGCACCGAATCAATTCGACACTATTGCATTCTGGTGTGGCCTATGGTCAGAGCCCGTAAACCGCAGCGAGGGCCCTTGGACAGAAGTAGTGGCGAGTCAGTGTGCAAGTATAACGCCCATAAACCTCGTCATCGTAGCTGAGGCGGTCCGTAGGGCCCCGAACTGGAGAAGTCCGGGACTCGACGGACTGCATCACTAGTGGCTGAAGGGGTTCGTGGTGTGTCATACTGTGCTTGGACGACAGTTTCAAGAGGCTCTCAACCAGAAGTCACTCCCGAGCCTCTTCACTACTGGGATCACTCATTTGGTTCCTAAAGGCCAGGGTACCACAGACCCAAGCAAATACCGCCCCATCACGTGTCTACCGACCATATACAAGACACTAACATCCATTTTGAGCAGGAGAATCACTCGTCGCCTGGACTCAAATCAGGTGATGTCGCGTGCTCAAAATGGATGTCGGGACGGTGGTCGTGAAACCAAGGAACCACTTCTCATTGACGCGGTCATTGGAAAAGTGGTGAAACACAACCGTCGGAACTTCTCCGCTGCCTGGATATACTACAGAAAGGCATTCGACTCGGTGCCCCATACATGGCTTAAGAGGGTCCTCGAGCTATACAAGATTGACTGTACAGTTAAGAGACTTCCTCGAGTAGTGTATTGGGCAGTGAAGTATGATACTTCATCTGGGCGAGCGGATGACGGCTGCGGAAAGCCACATAAGGATAAGAAGGGGGCGGGGTATCTTCCAGGGCGATTGTCTGAGTCCAATCTGGTTCTGCCTCTCTTTGAAGCCTCTCAGTACTTTACTGAAGGGCTCCGTGAGGGGTTTTCAGCTTCGGAAAGGAGGTACAAAAGTGACCCACCTTTTCTATATGGATGACCTCAAGTTGTTCGCCTCCAGCTCTCCCATCTTGTGGAATTGCTTGACCAAAACGCTTAGTAGCCTTTTATCTGGTGTGGGTCATCCCATAGGATGCATCATTCGAGATCTTCGGTAATGAGGCTGTACTTGCCGCGAAAGAATGGTGGGCGTGGCATTTTGAGCGCGCTCACCATGCATAATCGCGAAGTGTGCAGCCTCCGAAATTACTTCCTGGCGAGATTGGATGATCCATTCTGTAAGGACGTCATTTCTTGTGATAAAAGATTTACCCCTCTATCCTTAGCCAACGAGCAATCACAAGACCCGGCAGTCCAGAGCATTTCCGATCGGGAGGCCGTATGGAAGAAGCTCCACGGGAGGTTCGGTAGAAAAGCGTCTCTTCTTAAAGTACATAACTTTAATAAGAGAACGCTGCGCCCTCTCTAACTCCAGAAATTGAGTTTTTGCTGCACCACCCCAGACAGAAATACAACGCCACGACGGATTGAGCAAGAGCAATGTAAATTTGGTTGAGGAGATAATTTGGTGAGTCCCCGTCCGATTTGCCCAGTATTACGTGTCTGAGGGTTTTGAACGTTCCTCGTTCTATTGATGACATGATCAAGTTGTGGGTACCAAGATAGTCTTTGGTCTACAATTACCCCCAGATATTTTGTCCGAGCTACCTTAGCTAGTTAATAATAATTTCATATAAATTTTATATTAATTATATTTTATTACCCATTTTATGTTGTTTGATTTATTAGTACAATAAAAATACTTACAAAAATATGTTTTATTTCATCATTATGCTTACTTCTATTCATCTAAGCTTTGTATCCCTTTTACGCAATAAAGATTCTTAAATAAAATAAACTTTTTAATATAAAAACAATTTACACTGCAGCAGCTTAAAAAAACTCATTTTATTGCGCATTTTGGGTAAAATTTCATATAGTAAGCCACACCAACCCGCCAATTCATGTTAGTATGTCTATCTTTATCTAAACTTTGTAAGTGAGATAGATGTTTATTTAAAATGTTTAGTAATTTCAAAGCTACGTCGTCGCGGTTGGATAGGTTACACTTTTTTCGAAGCGCGGTAATGTGGTTTGCTCCTCTAGTTTTGTCTAACTCAATGAGTACAAGTAAATGAAGTTAATTGATTAATGTACAAATTTTCTTCGCGGCATTGGTGAGAAAATTTTCATGCTCCGTAATTTTTTATTTTTTGACAAAAAGAAACATTAAAAAATAGAGGAATATTTTATTGTGCATGGAGATGCAAGTGGTTTAGCATCTGATCCGAAAAATAGACTGAAAATGACTTTTACTGAGCGAACTAAGCGATCGCAGCACCTCCATTATGGTGTCCATATTTCTGTTCTCTAACCTTCATGCTGGGTTCTATTATGGAACACAGTCTGGTCTTCCGATCTGGCATTCTTTTTCTCGCCCGCTCACAGTCAATTAGTTACAGAGAATCCACCGTAACTTAATCCACGTATACATATATTGTAGAGCCCGTCTAGTAGCAGTAGCACACATAGAATTCTCTGATTCTAATTCTATAAATATTAATCAATTATCATTGACGAATAAGTCATAGCAAAAATACAATGAAATACGAACATTTGTCAGAAATACCTTTTTAGGTAATAATTGAAATAAAAATAGATAACACTGTATAACAATACCTTTATTCAATTATACAAGAAATTTCATTATATATTAGAACAAAAGTACACATAAATTACTGTGAAACAGCATTTAGCATTTAGGGTGATTACGCCTAATGAATGGGTATGTCAATATTTATTGTTAATCCAGAAAATGTCTGCGCGCCGAATTGTATTTAGATTCTTCTTACACTTCAGATTATATTACCGCCTTTGTATTTTTCCTAAAGAAATGGCGTTTTGAAAATAAAACGAATAATATTTGGACACAATTTCGCGTCTGCGGCACCTGAGTGAAGTTTTTCGTGACGCACATGTGCGTCCACGGCAGGTTGAGTTCCATATGGTTTCTTTCGCCTGGTTTCCACAAATTCCTTTTTTTAACCTAAAAAATGGATTATGTATTCGGATGCAAAATAAAAAACCATGTTCACTATTCATTTAATATTTACTTTTATAATTATGTTATTTTCATTCATAACTAACAACGATATGGGTGTTACTATGTATTCAAATTCAGTAAAACAAATTAAAAACAAAATACAATTTTCACTCACTATTAATTTTAATATTACAGTACTAGTATGCAATAAGAAAACTCTTTTATTTTAAATAATTTATATATGTAAATCAACCCCATTCCGAAGTTTGTATATATGATGTAATGCTTTACAGATAATTCTCATGAAGTTGAATGTGCACTCAAATCGTGAAAGTGAGAATTCAGTGGGATAATAAAGACGTTCCGATAATACAGCTTCAAACATTCAGGTCACTAGTATGTCTTAACTTTTTACACAGAGGGTCTTTAGAAGCAACGTCGATTACAAAATTCATATTAGATAGACTTAATAAAATATGCGTATCTAAACTATCTTACTCCTTACTGAATCCGCAACGATCTCGTACGTGGCCCGCAGCGAGACGCACGCAGACCAGAGCGGACAGAAAGGCGAGCGCGTGCCCGACAGCTAACCAGAATACGTTACTCAGAGTCATACCATAAAGATAATTATATTATATTTACATGAATAATAAAGGTGTCAGCAAATCAGTAGCCTTAGGGACGACAACTAAGCTCCACTATGTGTGATTTGAAATCATGCGCCGAGCGCGTTATATCTCTTAACATACTACAAATTTATACGTAATTAGTACATACATAATAGTAATACAATGTGTATTATATACTTGGCCATAGCCAAAATGTACATTGGGACTTCCCGGTGGATGCACAATTTGTTCACACATTAAACATCTTACTACATGCTGTGAGAAGGCCTACCGCCATTTCACATTCACTTGTGAACCAATTGACAGAAACACATCGTAGAAATCCGACCCACTGTACAATTTCGTACGTGTAATTGTGATTGCAACCGCTCCATTTGATTTTCCTTTACACGGGACTATCTTGTAAAGCATCAGCTGCCCGCTTTGTATAAGTAAAACTTATCAAAACTGGTGCGAGAGGTAATTACATCGACAATGTTATACGCGATCAGGCTACGTCTAAACCATGAATGAAATATTTTATTAGTCTATACTTAAATGTTTTTAAAATACCTCTCCTAATTTGTATCAGTATCGAATTCGAAGTGCGAAATGAAATTGCATGAATGCTTATGACACTAAAACTATAAATAGTAGATTTAATTACTTCAACATTGTTTCATAAATGACTACAAACAACGTGTTTTCAATGACAAAATTTTACATAGCAGAAATATAATTTTATTGAATATAGGATACAAGATAATCGAAAAACTATGACGTTACATTAGGACACCGACAGTGCTATTCATTAAATACATTACATTATATCCAGCCCTGGATAAGATAAGGTAAATTACACCGCAATAAAAAAAGTTATCATAAAGATGCCCGAAAAAACACATGGTTAATAAAAGGTCGTAAGTCTAAAATTTAAATCTTTTGAATTGTTTATACACAAATACACGATATTTTGAGATATTATTAAATAATATAAATTATCTGAGAGA